GTTGGCAACAATAGGAGAAACTGGAGACCCCATAGCACACCCATGTTTCTGCCTATAATATTGCTCCCCATATGTGAAGTAGGTTGACTGCAGGCACAGTTTCAAGAGTTGACACAGTTGTTCTGTGGAAAGCGTGGTCCTGCTGCTCAGCGTGGTGTCTGATTTTAATGTCCCAGTCCCAGTGGCTTTTAAACCCCAAAATACATTACGGCAAAGACTGGTTCATCCCAAAGATCCAGTCCCCCGGCACAAACAGAGTAATGTTGTGTATGCTGTTCAGTGTCAGGAGGGCTGTGATCAGTCTTACATCGGGGAAACTAAACAGCCACTGGCCAAAAGGATGGCCCAGCGCAGAAGATCAACATTATCAGGCCAGGATTCTGCGGTCTACACTCATCTCCAGGCCAGCGGTCACTCTTTCAGGGATGAAGATGTGCACATCCTGGACAGAGAGGAACGATGGTTTGAGAGAGGAGTAAAGGAGGCCATCTTTGTGAAAAGAAATCGTCCATCATTAAACAGGGGTGGAGGCCTCCGGGTTCAACTGTCCCCCTCTTACAGTGCTGTGATTGCTAGTATCACTCAGCCCTCTGTGAGTAGTAAACAGCCATCAGTGTGCTAATGACCCATTGTTAGGCTGATGGTCCTTCTTGAGCATGTGATCAGCTGGTTTTGGTTGTCAGCAGCAAAACTGGTTGATCCACCCTGAGAAGGTGCTATTTAAGAGACTGAGCTGAAAACAGCACCTCAGACTGAGGAAGTCTCTTGGATGAGAGACGAAACGTTTCTACATTTTTTTGCTTTTTTTTTTCTTTTTTTTTTTTGAATGTCCAGAGGACCAGATTGAACTTTTTTGGATTTTTCTACCTGGATTATTGAGCATGCATCAGGATGTCAAGTCATATTTATTTATAGAGCACAATTTAAAACAGATAGACTGTTATCAAAGTGCTTAACACTAAGGGTAACACTAAGAAATAAAAAGCAGTAAGAATATACCTTAAAAAATTAAAACAACAGCATTAAAATGAAGACATGGAACAAGATATACTAAATCAACTCACACAGTATGAAACGCCAGAGAGAACAGATATGTTTTTAGCAGGGATTTGAACACAGGAAGGGAGGTGGCATGCCTAATGTTGGGGGGTAGGTTGTTCCACAGTTTGGGACCCATGACTGAAAACGCCCGATCTCCTCGGAGCTTCAGTCATGTTTTTGGAACAACCAAATGCAGCTGATCGGATGATCTCAGAGCCCGAGAGGGAACATATGGTTCCAGTAGCTCAGAGAGGTAGATGGGTGCGAGGCCATTTAGGCACTTATAGGTCAGGAGGAGAATTTTGAAATCAATCCTAGTTCTCACATGAAGCCAGTGTAGGGAGGACAGAACTGGTGTGATGTGCTCATACCTCGGTGTACCGGTTAAGAGCCGAGCTGTAGCATTCTGGACGAGCTGTAGCCGTGAGATAGAGGCCTGGCTGACCCCAGCATACAGTGAATTACAATAGTCCAGGCGGGTTATGATGAATGCATGGACTAGAGTCTCAAGGTTGGGTCTAGACAGCACTGGCTTGAGCTTAGCTACCTGCCGCAGTTGGAAGAAGCTTCTCTGCAGAACCGAACTGATCTGTTTGTCGAACTTAAAATCCGAGTCAAAAACCACTCCAAGGTTTTTAACAGAGTGCTTCAGATAAGGCTGAAGGGAGTCCAGGTTCACAGGATAAGAGGCGGCAGCTGAGCTAGGGCTAAAGACAATGACTTCAGTCTTCTGGTCGTTAAAACTTAGAAAATTTGAAGCCATCCATGTCTTAATGTCGTCCAGACATTTGAGGAGAGGGTGGATGGAACAAGCACTGGCTGGTTTCAGTGGCAGGTAGATATGACAGTCATCGGCGTAGCAATGGAATGGAATACCATGTTTTCTTAGGATCGATCCCAGCGGAAGCAGATAGAGCGAAAATAGAAGGGGTCCGAGAATCGAGCCCTGCGGGACACCGCAGGAAAGAGGCATTGAAGTGGATAGATTTTTACCCACCTTCACACAAAAACTCCTGTTAGAGAGGTATGAGCGGAACCAGTCTAATGCAGCACCTGTAATCCCAACCCAGTGTTCAAGCCGAGAGATGAGGATATTGTGGTCAACAGTATCGAAAGCGGCAGTAAGATCGAGGAGTACAAGAGCCACAAAATGACCAGAATCATTTGCTGTTAAAATGTCATTACAAACCCTAACCAAAGCTGTTTCTGTGCTGTGGAGCTGCTTGAAACCAGACTGAAAGACCTCAAAGATTTTGTTCTCAGTTAAAAACTGATTTAACTGAGTAAAAACTACTTTTTCCAGGATTTTGGACAGAAAGGGGAGTTTTGAGATTGGTCCGTAATTTGAGCAGGCTGAAGGGTCAAGACCAGGTTTTTTAATTAACGGTGTGACTACTGCATGTTTGAATGCCTCTGGGACCACGCTTGTAGCAATACTACTGTTTAGTATTGTTAGAACAGCAGGCCCAATCGCTGGTAGAACCTGTTTGAACAATGCTGCTGGGATGGGGTCCAATGGTGATCCTGATGGCTTCATGTGACCAGCATCTTTGTTTAACAATGGGAGTGTGATTGGTTTGAATTGCCTGAAAGTAGCAGAACACGAAACAAAAGCTGATGGGTCGACTAAGGACCGGGGGATGGAGGCCCTGATCAACTCCACTTTGTTAACAAAGAATTTAGTGAAGTCATTGCAGGTGTCAACAGAGGCCTCCATACATGAATACGAAGGGACATTTAGAATGGAATTTACTGTTGTGAATAGGGCGCGGGGGTTGTGTCTATTTGAGTTGATGAGTTGGGAGAATTTATTTTTATTTTTTCAGATTTGACAGTGTTCTGGTAATTTTTTAAACAGGTTTTGAGCAAAATGAAAGAAACCTGGAGATGGTCCTTTTTCCACCTGCGCTCAGCTCTCCTGCACAGGCGTCTCGCTGCCCTGGTGGTCTCATTCATCCATGGGTACTGGGCTCTCCTTGGTTTTCTGGCTTTTAGTGGGGCCACCAGATCCAAGATCTTAGTGCAAGTCACATTGTGGTTACTAAGCAGCTCCTGAGCACCGACACAGGCAGAGGTTTCAGGTGTTGTAGCAGCAGTGGTAATAAAGGCAGAGGAAAAACGAGCAGCAGTTGAAGGGTTAAATATACGACAGGTCCTGGGTGGAGCGGGAGATTTAGAGACACAAGCAAGAGGTATTACAAATGAGATTGGTTTGTGATCAGACATGACAGCATCCCCAATTTCCAGATTTAGCACAGAGACACCACAAGACAGAACAATATCAAGAGTATGACCCTGATGGTGTGTGGGGCCGACAACATTTTGCACCAGGTTTAAAGAGTGGATCAGATTTAAAAAGTCCTGAACCAAAGGCTTTTCAAGGCAACAGACGTGCACATTGAAGTCCCCTAGAATCAGCACACGGTCGTATTTTAACAGTATTGCAGTGAGAAAGACAGACAGTTCACTGATGAAGCCTGTGGAGGATTTGGGCGGTCAATAAAGCACCGCAATCAACATGGGGTTGGAGCGGCCCAGTTCAAAATGCAGCAGTTCAAAGGTCTGAAAAGATGGCGTCTGTAACAGTCTGCATTTCCAGATTTTCTTAAAAACAGCCAACACTCCTCCACCTCTTCCAGATGACCTCGGGCAATTAAGAAAACTACAATCAGCAGGCACAAGTTCAGAAAACACACTTGACTCACCCGGAGGAAGCCAAGTCTCTGTCAGAAACATGAAGTCCAGATTATTTGTGCAGAAAAAGTCGTTCATGATGAAGGTTTTGTTTGTTAAAGACCTCACATTGAGGAGAGCAAACCTTGTTGGGTCAGCAGCTGAGGGAGAAGTTGAGGGGGGGGCGCAGATCAGCGGTTTCAGTTTGTTTACGTCGGGTCCTCGCCTCCTCCGGCCGGAGAAAGTGCAGCCGGGATGAACAGCCGGAAACCGGGAGCCGCCGGACACAGCAGGGTCGTTGGTACGATCCGATGGGGCAGCAGATGGTGCAGCTGTTGGACCCGGGTTGGTTTCGGTTTGTTGGATACAGTTGGAAACACCGCAGCTGGGCGCGCGCTCGCTGCACGCCTCCGACCCGATGTTCTGCAGCAGGCAGGACTCCGCGAGGCATCCAGGTGTTGAAACCTCATTCCGGTGGACAGCTGTAGCTGAGGAACGAGCGAGGCTAGCTTTGAGCCTCACGAGGCGGCCAGCATGTCTCCCACGGCGACGAGAGCGATGTTTTCGTGCAGGCACGAATGTCGCGCGCTGGAGATACCCAGGTACGTTCCCAAGCAGCGGAGGTGGGGGCCCAGAACCCCGATCAAAATGTTCATAGGAGGCGAGATAAGTGGTGGAAAATTGTAGATTGAGCAGTTGCTGGCGATCATACACCAGTAGTGAGCTGATCTTATTGAAGAAAATTGATAAAAATAGCAAAAAAAGAAACAGAGTGGACAGAGGTGAACGGCAAGCCACCAGCTCGGGCGCCATCTTGGAATGAATTTTTTTTTCAGCTCAACCGTTGGCCCTAGAAGTCTCTGTGAAGACTTCTCCGTGTGTGTGAGAAAGAGGCTGTGAGAATGTTTCTGTAATCAGGAACTCGGCTTGATCCCCTCTGGTATGTGCTTTCAGGAGTGTTTGTCAAAGGCCAGCAGAAAAGTCTTAAAAAATCTAAGCCTTTCAGCTTTTCTCAATGTTAATTTGTCTAAAAGATACATTATTATTAACATATTAGATTGGTCTGAATTTATTTATTTAGACTTGTTAGGTTACTTTTTTATGTGGAAAAGATAAATCAGGGTTTGTAGTATGTGTTAAAGTGAAATATTTCTCTGTCGAACACAATCTGATTTATTTCTTTTTGGCGCTGTTACACAAGGCTTAAAGCCGCCCATTAAAGATGTGAGGAGAAATAATACAATCATCTTTTTTTATTTTGGTTGAACAAGTGATTACTCTCTTACCATTGCCTGCGATGACTTGGACTTTGATTTCATTAGCTTTCCTCTTGGCCACATCTGCTAGCACCTCCTCACCCTTATCACTGGCAACATAATGAAGGTCCTTTGAAGGGAATGCAAGAGAGAAAGAAATGTGAATGTTAATCTAAAATGAATCTAAGCTCAGATGACAATAGTTTTTTTTTTCTTTTTTTAGGAGGGGTGGGGGCAGTATTTTTGGCAGGAGGAAGAAGAAACATGAAATGAACAGGAAAAAAAAGAGTCGTTTGAAGTCCAACATCAGAAAGAGCACCATTTTGGATGAAATGTCGGTTCCTCAAAAAAAGAGAAACTTTGAAATCAGCCTTCTTGCTCTCTGCACCTTCTAACCACACCCACTCTCTCTACAACTCTCTCCCTCACACTCACACACACACACACACACACACACACACGCACACACACACACACACACACACACACACACTCATCTTTTGGTTTTAAACTGAGGTGGATTTTATCTGTGCCATTTCAAAAGTGGGAGGAAAGACGAGGGACTGTTCACCTTTCAGAAACGCTTTGCAGAGAAACATATCCAGCCGAGCACATTACTCTATCAGCCAGTGACAATACTGGAAACAGCGAGCATCCTCTGTATCACTCTGTTTGAGTCTGATATTGTCATAAAAGCAGATAATATAACTAAATGATGCCTGAGGGTGGCTGATGGAAAAACTCATTCCTGCAATATATTCAATAATTAGCAGCAGCTTCAGGCTTTTGCTCATTTTTAAGGTGACTGACACTAAAATCTATTCAGTTAAGTCCAGTTAAGTGAGTCAACACAAGTCCTGCTTAATGTGTTTAAAGTGCTGCTTAACAAGTCGAGTTTTAAAGGAAGAAAAAAAATAAAAACAAAAACCTATTTTAGTACCTTGACAGCAAAACTGGTCTTTAACAAAAACTTTTGAGTCTTCTGAAAATGTACAGTTTCCCTGTGTTATAAAAGTGGGTCACATCTTTGAGTTATTTTTATGTTCAATAAAGGAACCCCACCCCCCCCCCAATTAAAAAAAAAAAATAATTTAGAATAAATCATACAATCTAACAAAAGTATGAGTGTTTTGTGATAGAAACAGGATTATAAAGGATAGATTTGGGGATAAAATCAGGACTAAGCAGCAATATTAATTTAGATTTATTAATAAATAAGCATCAGATTTTGCTTTTTCAAGCTGCAAGAATGAAATTATCTTAAAGAAAAAAGATTCTTTATCATCACTGATAAATCGCCATATTGTTGCCATAATGTCAGCTTAGATAGCACTTGGCAGCTGATTGTTGTTTTATTCTGTCAATGTCAAATAACAGCTTTGTTTAATGTTCATACGTTTGCTTTATTTTGGTCAGTCTCCCCACCATCACAGACATCTACACCTCCAGATGCAGAAAGAGGGCCACCTGCATCATGAAGGACCTCACTCACCCAGCACACACACTTTTTGCCCCGCTCCCCTCAGGCAGGAAGTTGAGGAGCATTAAGTGCAGAACCACTAGACTGAGGAACAGCTTCTACCCTGAAGCTGTTAGACTCATAAATCTCTTATCAGGATTATCACTGTTAAAAAAAAATCACAGTAACGTCACTTTGATTATTGAGATGTGCTGCTGATTATCCATGCTGCTGATCTTATGCTGCTGATTATTTCTTGCTGCTTTATTCATTCATACTCATCTACTCACACAGACTCATGTTCGTGCTGCTGTTGTTCGGCGCACTGTTTTGTAATATTAGTGTTTAGCCTATTTCTTAGTTTATATCTTAGATCCTTATTATCATTACTTTTACAATTTATATTTTTGCTATTGTTGGCTGTAACTGGGACCCTGTGTACACAATTTTGTTCCACCTCATGCACCACACGTGATGCAAATGACAATAAAGAAGCTTGAACCTTATTTACCGGTACCCACCTTTTCCTGGGTCGCGAGGGAGCTTGTGCCTATCTCCAGCATTCATTGTGCAAGAAGTGGGGTTATACAGTAATTATTATGAAAGGATGAATAAATTAACAGGAAAACTTGTTAGAATGTCCCTGTTTCTGGAACAGCAATGACTCAACCTTCATGCAGACACCCAACAAGTGTCTGCTGAGGGCCGCAGGTTTCCTCAGGCAGAGTGCAGGGTCTGAGGGTTCATCAAAGCGAAGAGCATGTTAAGAAAAGTCTTCCGCCTCAGCGGCATCACAGGACCTCGCTGCCATGACTCAGGACTCATCACGGATAACCCTTAGCTGGCTAAAGCCAGCCCCCAGCTGAGCCTGTACCCAGCTCTAATACCCTCATTGTAGCCCCCTAAAGAAAAATAGGGGGGTGCTGGATTCTAAAAGAGGTGGGAAGCAGAAAGGGATTGATCGTAAAGGAGAAAGAGGGAGAGGTGCTGAAATTGAGGGAGTTTCAATGGGAACAGATTGGGTAATTATAGTGTGGTGTCTGCCCTCTGTGGAAACGAGCTAGGAGGAAATGTGAAAATGGTCGACAACAAAATGGCCTCAAAGGAGCCTAAATAGGCTCCCAGGACCGAGGTGACTGATTTGGCCCCTGTGAACAGAAACACGGCCCACAATTTAATATGACTGAAGGTCCTTCATTGATAACAAACAGATGATAAAACAGGCAAGGTGGAGAGAGGCAGAGCAGAGAAATGATGCTGAGACGTAAAAGAAAGAAGAGGAGGTGAAAGAAAGGCCAAGAGGAAAAGATGAGAGACATTGAGACGAACAGATTGGAACAATATGAACATTTGATGTCGAGACGCTTTATTCCAGATTAGCTTCTCATAATACTGTCTGAATCTGTAGAAAGACTCAGAGAAGGAGTGAAAAAATGTGAAATAAGAGAGAAATAGAGGAGTATCAACCAGACTAAGAAGGGATAACAATAATGCCACATATAAAACCATCAGATATTACACCTTTTATTCCCCGACGCTCAAACGCGACACTAATCTTATTTATATAAGAGCTTTAAGGGCTATGGTGAGCTAGCTAACTGCGCTGATAAAAAGGGGTGTTTTAGTGGGCCATATTTAAGGAGCAGAAGGGAGGAAGGCGGTGGACACTAAGAGCCTCAAATTGACTGGGTTTTGACTGGTATTTGGGTTATGTCCAAATAAGATGGGCAGGATTAGCTTGACTGGCACACTGAAGCATTTTCAACACATATTCAGATGGGTTCATGTCTTTATGTCTGCAGTCGGATTGTTTGTGAATTCTTCAACAAAACAAATGCTAATGTAGAGAGCAAAATAATATTAAACAATACATCTGTTCCAGGCTAAATACTGCAAAAAATATCAAGTCTCCAAAAAGCATATGGGAAATGTGTAATGGTTTGTATGGAACCTCAAGTTAAACTTTTAGGCCAACAATCCAAAAAAGTATGTATGGTGCAGGACTGGCTGATCACCAAAAGAACATCAAGTTTTGAAATGCAAATGTTTAAGGAAATATTCAATAAAAAATAATTTAAAAAAAAGTTTTGAAATGTCTCACTTACATTTGATAGAACTTTACCACACCATACCATACCATACCATACCATACCATACCATACCATACCATACCATACCATACCATACCATATCATACCATACCATACCATACCATACCATACCATACCATACCATACCATACCATACCATACCACTTTATTTATAAAGCACTTAAAACAGCAACAAGGCCAACCAAAGTGCTGTATAGCAAAAAACAAAACAAGCAAAGGACACAGGATAAAATACATAGATCCAAATAGGTAAAGATAAGAACTAAATGGCTAACATTATAGAATACAGAAACTCACACAGTGTCAAAAGCCAGAGAATAAACGTGAGTTTTCAAACTGGTCCAAAACCAACAGGAAGTCAGCCATTTCGGGTCAAAGGGTCAATTTTGGCCATTTCCAATGGCGCATTTTAACAAACTCCTCCGAGGGATTTTGATGGAATGCCTTCACACTTGGTTAATATGCTCTTAACACAAAAGCTCACGTTTTCATGTATGTTAAAGGGACGTGGCCAGGCCTCAAAGTTGAGCTACATGCAATAAATTTCCAAACTCTACAACTTTCACATTGAAAGACCGAAATGCACCACACTTGGCATGAGTCATCCCTGTCCGATGCCCGACGATCCTCTGGGGTCATATTTCTGACGTCATCAAAGCCCCGCCCCCTCAGAACAGGAAGTCACTTGTTTTGCTTGGAATGCTTCCTCTCTGACATCCTTGACCTAATCAGGCTGATCCTGTGTTAGAAGACATTTAACATGTTGGTCTGACTTGCTATAAAGCACAAAACTGGTTTGTTCCACTTTGGAGTAAGCTGTTGGGGGAAGAAACAGTTTTGTTGTGTTTCCTTAACTGATAAAGCCTTCCATGTTGAAGGTGAAATGTTTCAGCACAAAAAAAGAAACTGTTCAGATGACCTGACTGAAAAATGTTGGATTGTATACCTGGATTATTGAGCATGGACTTTGTTGTTTTCAACCAGTTTGACACAACTGTCAACAAGGAAGAGGGGCCGTACCAAAGAGACCATCTTATCACAAACAAAACTGGTTTGTTCCAATTTGGAGAAAGTTGTCGGGGGAAGAATCAGTTTTGTTGTGTGTTTCCTTGACTGATGAAGCCTTCTGGATCGAAGGTGAAACGTTTCAGCACAAAAAAAAGAAACTGTCCAGATGACCTGACTGAAAAATGTTAGATAGTATACCTGGATTATTGAACATGGACTTTTGTTGTTTTCAACCAGTTTGACATGCCTGTCAACAAGGAAGAGGGCCGGCAATGGAGGAGGGGTCGTACCAAAGAGACCATCTTATCACAAACAGAACTGGTTTGTTCCACTTTGGAGTAAGATGTTGTGTCACAGTTTACACTCTGTTTTTTCCTTTTCTCATCACTCTGTTCACTGTTTGACTTTTTCTTCTCTGCTCTCCTGGGATTTTCCTCTGCTGCTTCTAACAGCCTCTTTACATGCCACACCTCCCTCTTTGATTGCTGCTGATGGTTTCCACCTGTTTCTGGGTGTATATATACTTCTTGCTTTCTCCACTACATTTCCAGA